GATGTGAGCGGATAAGAACTGTGTTATTTGGGAGAATGAGTAACCCCGTCCCCCCGGTACCTTCATGGGTTCGGTGAGGCACAGCTTCTCGGCCGCTTTCACAAACTCCTCCCAGTTTTGGATGTAGGTCATGGCCCCCGGTCCCGGTCCCACTCGAACCGTTTCGGTGACTCAGCCTCTGTCTGGCCAACAGCAACCAATCACACATCCCCTTACTCCAGCCCCAGCGAGACAGCCAATCGCAAACAGAAATGTTCCGCAGTACGCCCGCCAGTGCGCACCAATCCCAAGCGCGTTCCCCGAGCGCAGCCTCCTATCAGCGAACAGATTACACCTCGCTGGCCGGGCAGAGTCAGCCAATAAGAGGACAGAGAAATGTGGGTGGGGAAGCGGCTGGAGAACATTCAGCCCATCGAGCCTGTGCTAGCCCATGAGGAATACTTTATCTAGTGTCGTTGTTGAAACACATTTAGATATTTAGGACACATTTAGGCTGGACGATGGTACTGGAGAACAACAGAATGACAGAATTTTTAGAGTAGACAGGGAGACCATTCAGCCCCTATGTGCCTGCAGTATTCCCTAGAGCAGCATTTTACCCAGTGCCAATCTGTTGCTATCTTGCTATTACCCTGAACATTTATGTTTTTCTCATAATAACCCAATCCTCACTCAAATGTCTTGATTGAACCTGCCTCCACACCTCCAGATCTAACCCCTCATTGTGTAAAATACTTTTTCCTCACATTACTATTGCTTCTTTTGCCAAACATTTTAAACCTATCCTTTCTGATTCTCAATCCTTCCCCTCCCAATGCAAACCATTTTCTCCTATCTATTCTGTCAAGTCCCCTCATGATTTTGAGTACCTCTATCAAATCTCTCAACCTTCTTGTCAAAGTACCTGAATTTCCTCATTTTTACAACCAACCTCATGAACTTTCTCTATACCCCCTCTAATCACTTGAGACCACTGCTCATGGTAAAGGCTGATATTTGAGTGTACAAGGTATAATTTTTCACATGATAATGGAATTTTGAAACCAATTATTAATTATGAATTATTGCAGACCACACACTATGTACACTAGTGAAGTGCAAGGACTCAAGTAAATGAAATATAATGCAAAGAAGTAAGAAGTATTACACCGGTAAGAACAACGCAAACTGAGAGGGAAATGGACTTTAGAGAATTGCTAAATCACAGAAGGCAACGTAAAAGAAGTTGGGGATACTTGTGTATGAAACACAGAAAGCTAACACACAAATGAAACAGGTAACCAGACAAGTTAATGTAGCCTCTGCCCTTATTTCAAAAGTGTGGAGTATAAGAAGAGGGAAGTCTTACTACAACTATACAAGGTGCTGGTAAGACCACAGCAATTTTGCCCCCCTTATTCAAGGAAAGATATTATTTCATTGGAGGCAGTTCATAGAACGTTCACTAGGATGATCCCTGGTGGCGGAGGAGTTGTCTTATGAACAAAGGCAAAGGCTGGGACTCTACTCACTGGAGTTTAGAAGAATGAGAGGTGATCTCATTAAAACATGTAGGATTCTTAAGAGGTTTCTCGGGCTAACAGCTCAGAGAATGTTGCCCTTCATAGGAAAATCTAGGACCAAAAGGCATAGTCTCATAATAAAGGAGGATCAATTTAATACTTAGATGAGAAGGAATTTCTTTTCTCAGATGGTTGAGTGTCTTTGGAACTCCTTACCACAGAGAGTCCTTGTGTATATTTAAGGCTGAGATAGATAGATCCTTGGTCAGTCAGAGAATCAAGCATTATGGGAAAAAGGCAGGAAAGTGAGGAATGTCTGGTCAGCCATGATCCTATTGAATGGCAGTTCCGGCTTGAGGGACCAAATTTGTGTTTCTATTTCGTATGGTCTTGTGGTCTTAACATTCAACTCAACTGTGCTGGTTAAAGGGAATGTTACATATTGCCACTTGCTTGCATGTTCGTCCTTTTCAGACATTTGGAAAACATAGAAGAATTTACAATACACAAGGAGCACACATCCTGTCTGCACTGGCCAACAAACAAGCCACCTGATTTTTGAAGTTCCTTGGATTTTGTTTGGAGGAACGCATTTGTAAGGACAGGGTACACTTATAACTTGCTGAAGTCATGTGACCTTTGCTGTAAGTTGTTTTCACTTTGGATTGAGTAGCCATTAAACACACAGCATTAAACATGTGTCAGAGCTGTACAGCTGAAATTGTGTTGAATTTCAGATTCATAAGAGAGCCAGCATCCAAACAGCAAGTAAGAATTTGAACAACAGCCTGCATCTTTGAAGTACTGGGTGAGTCAAAATGGCTGTGAATTTTCCATTCTTAGTTATAGAGATCTACAGCACAAAAACAGGCCCTTTGGTACAGATGCAATGGGCCAATCAACATGAACCACAAACTATCCTAATCCATTTCCCAGCACCTGGCCTGTAGCCTTGTGTGCCTTGGCTTTGCAAATATATATCCAACTGCTTCTTAAGTGTTATGAGGGCTTCTGTCTCTGCCACCCTTACAGGCAGTGAGTTCCAGATTCCCACTACTCTCTGTTTGAAAAAGATTTCCTCACATCTCCTCTGAACTTTCTGCCCTTAGGTTAAATCTATGCCCCTGGTCAGTGACCCCTAAATCAAGGGGCAAAGTTTCTTCCTGTCGACCCTTTCTTTGCCCATCACAATTTTTAATGATTTATTTATTTATTTATCTGTGAAAGATTTATTTCTATGTTGTCACTTACATTTTACAGTGAATAATACTGTGAGATACAGTGAAAAGCTTCAACAGTCACCACAATCTAGTGCCATTTTGAATGGTTTAAGAATAAAAAGGATAAAAGATATAACTGAAAGACAGCCCTGAGCCGCTCACCAACAACACCTGCGCCGCCACCTCACCTCCACTGTCTTGCTGCTGCCTGCACCAGATCCACCAATGCAGGAGTTGCCACTCTTTAGGTGCCATCTCTTCACTGCTGGGTCTCGCCACCGCTGATGCCGATTCCCATGCTGAATACACACTTACCCCGCAACCACTGCCTCTATGATGCCAGCAGTTCCCTCTCTGGGCGTACTGCAACCAGGAGTCCCTGGCTCCACTACCAGACCAGGCTGCTGCCACCGTCTTGCCAAGGGTCCTGCTCCGGCCGCCCTCCTCCGAGATGTCGCCTTGCCGGCACCGCCATCTTGAAAAGTCCGCCACTGCTGCTGCCAGCCCTGACTACCCAGAGGACACTCCTGCTGCAGCCACTATCTTCACATCCACTTCCAACCACTGGAAGGAGATGCCATTCCATGAGCGGCCTGCTGTAGCTGCCACGCTGATTTCACCAACTAACCAGGTGCAAAGCAAAGGAAAAAGGAAGAAAAAAGTGAAAGAAAAGAGCAGAAGTAAAAAGAAAAATAAAGAAAGCAAGCGTGCAGGACAGGATGAGCCCAGGGCAGGAGCCCGCACGCAGCCCTGCTATTCCACTGCCATCTTGAATCTCTCACATCAGTTTTACTCATTTCAATCATGTTCCCTCTCAATCTCCTCTGCCCTGAGAAAAACAACCCCAGTCTGTCCAATCTCTGTTTGTTATTGTAACTCTCCACCTTAGGCAGCTCTCCATTTCAACTTCTCCAGTGCAGTCACATCCCTCTGATAATGTGGATTTCACAACTGCACAAAATACTCCAGCTGTGGCCTAACCAACAACATTTTATACAATTCCAGCATAATCTCTCAGCTGTTAAACTCTATGCCTTGACTAATAAAAGCAGGTATACCATATGCCTTCCTAACCACTTTATCCACTGGTCCTGATACCTTAAGGGACCAGTGTACATGCGCATCAATGTGCTTCTGATCCTTGCTGCTTCCCGGGATCTTATTGTTCAACATGTATTCCCTTGCTTTTACTGCCAAAGTGCATTACCACACATGGCTTGAGATTTGGAAATAATAGGCCATAGAGATTGTATTGGAACTTGTTTCAGTCTCAATGGAAAATTATGAAAATTACAGAACTGAACAAGAATTCTGAATAGATATGAATCGCAACTCTATTATCAGTACTGGGTCATAACTGCTACAAGCTGTATTGGAGCTCAGACCTCACTGAGGAGTGGAAAAGCCTGGTTGGAGAAATGTTGTAGGCCTTGAAGACACATTTCAAATCTTCTGCTAATGTTACTTTTCATGGGATATGTTCAACATTAAAGTTCAGGGGAGAGATCAGCTGGTACGTGACTGCACTGATACGTCTGAGAGTTTGGGCAACTGAAGGAATATTTGCACTAGGGTCAGCAGGCAGATCAGAGTGCAGCTTGAAAATGTTGGAGGGGCCATCACACAAAAGAAAAGGACCCGTGTTGCAGCCTGGGGGAAAAGAAGCTGAATCACTTTGCAAACAGTGGTTAGCTAGAAAGATGCAAAGCAAGCCTATAAGGATGGCTGCTGGAGAAATGTGAGATACTGATTTTAATAAAGCGCTCTGCACCATATTGTAGCTTGGTACTGTCAAGTCTAAATGTGAGAAATGATTTGTGACTGTTGGAATGACACAGGTGCTTCACAGACCTATGGAAAATGGCTGAAGGTGCTGACCTGAAAAGGAAGCTCTCAAAGATAGAATTGAGAGTGTATGATGGAATGATCCTCATCCCACAATCGAAGTGGAGAGTCAGAGAAGAACAAAGCACAGTTCCAGAAGGTAGATGTGAAGTAAAATTCAGTTATCTTGATTGAAGGAAGTGCAAAGGTTAGATTGGTAACTCTGTCTGTGCCAGAGTAGATCTGAGGCATCTTGCAGGCTCCTAAACCATTGACTCCTGAGCTGGAAAAGAAGGGAGTAATCAAGAAATTGACATTCCTACAGACTGGATTAGCTGCATGGGATAAAAACTGACAAAAACTGGGAATCTAAGAGGACGGCATTTAGACTCAGTCTTCCTAGCATGTTTGGACACAATATTCCTGGGACATTTGGAAATGGTCTTCCCAAGACGTGGATGCTTTTTTCTCAGGATTTTTGAATTCCCTTATTCCAGTCCT